TTAAAAGTGCATCGCCCCGATGCAGTGTAAAACAAAACAAAATAAAAAAGAACGATAAACTAAAGAGTCTTTTGGAGCACATAAGTTCCACAGTCCTATCGAGCGTAGTACGGCTTCAGGCGCACGACGTGGACGACCGCAGGTCGTGGTGGGCGGCGTGACGATGTTCGTGTTCCGTCGGGCATCACCTCGTAGTTCAGCTCGCCGAGGCGACGAAGTACCTTGTATGGTCCAAAGTACCGTTTCAGCAGTTTCTCACTGAGGCCGCGGCGACGGATGGGCGTCCAAACCCACACCCTGTCTCCGGGCTGGAAGTGGACGTCCCTGCGACGAAGGTTGTAGCGGCCCGTATCGACGCGTTGCTGGTCTTGAATCAGGAGTCGGGCGAGGTGGCGGACTTCTTCGGCCCGTTGAGCAACCACCTGGGCGTCGTCGCTCTCAGTGTCAGCTGGCTCATGGGGCAGCATCGCGTCCAGCATGGTCGTTACTTTCCGACCATGTACCAGCTGGAAAGGTGTGAATCCAGTGGTCTCTTGAACCGCCGTATTGTAGGCGAACGTGACGTAGGGCAGCACCTCGTCCCACGTCTTGTGCTCTACGTCGACGTACATAGAGATCATATCGGCGATTGTCTTGTTGAGCCGCTCCGTCAGCCCGTTGGTCTGCGGGTGGTACCCAAGCAGCACCAGAAAGTGAATTTCGATCGGCCGACGGTTGGCCAGTGTCTGGACAGCTTGGCCACTTTAAGTGCTTGGCCACCGGAGACATAAACAAGGCCGGCAAGGGTCCGGCCACAAACTAGCTGTTTTTAGCTTGTCCGCCGGAGACATAAACACTGCCGGCAAGCGCCTGGCCAGAAGGGCTCATTTTCAGCTTGGACGCCGGAGACATAAACACGGCCGGCAAGTGTTCGGCCAGCAGTGGTGATTTTCAGCTTGGCCGCCGGGGACATAAACACGGTCGGCAAGTGTTTGGCCAGCAGTGGTGATTTTGAGCTTGGCCGCCGGGGACATAAACACGCCCGGCAAGTGTTTGGCCACAAGTGCTGATTTTCAGCTTGGCCGCCGGAGACATAAACACGGCCGGCAAGTGTTTGGCCAGTAGTGCTGATTTTCAGCTTGGCCGCCGGAAACATAAACACGGCCGGCGAGTGTTTGGCCAGCAGTGCTGATTTCCACCTTGGCCGCCGGAAACATAAACACGGCCGGCGAGTGTTTGGTTAGAAGTGCTGATTCTCAGCTTGGCCGCCGTGGACATAAACATGGCCGACAAGTGTTCTGCCAAAAGTGCTGATTTTCAGTTTCGCCGCAGGGACACCCATAATCTAAACTTTCATCGCGTTGACGAAACTTTGGCACAACGACGGGCAGCGAGAGAAGCATCGCGGGCGAGTGGTTTGCTGAATATTAGTGCGTGCATCGCGCGAACACTGTTAGCGCAAGCAAACGATCACCGTTTTATTCAGTTTTTTTTTTTTTTTCGTTAAACTTGAAAGGCACTGTCGTGTGATATGTTCATTTGGAACATTATACTAGAAGTGGGAAAATATTGTGCTCGTCGTTGTTCTATGAAAATAAAATACGAAAGCAGCGCCGACGTCATCTTCGCGTTAACTATACCGCTCTGTCGCCGCGCGGCACTCTTAGCGCGAATGCCACATCCGCGATTTTTCGGTTACTGCTCCACATATTTACTTCCCAACTGCACTCGAAGAAAAAAAAGTTGTAGTCGGGTGCATCGGGTGCAGATGCTCCCCTTTCCTGGAAGACGCACCCACCGTTACCCAGCCAGTGTACCTGTATACTGACCATAAGCCCCCTTCTCTGCCTTAGAAACCTATAGGTGTATCAATGCACCCAGCTTAGTAAACCGCCACGCTAGCCATGCACCCCGATCAGCTTGTGCTTGAATCGGATAAGATTGGATATTTCAGACTTTGTGTTTTGGAAGAGCCTAAACAAAACCTCTCTTATATTTTGATTAAACTTAAGCTAGTCTCAGTAATGTTTTAATTAGGTGCTAGGATACTGATTTCCTGAGCCAAGGAAAGCTAACAGCTTCGGTTAAAACCGCAACGGAAACGTTCAAAATCGAGCCACGCGTAAAAGAAAAAGAAAATGAACATCTCGACCTAGATGTGCAGAACGCTGGTTTTGTTGTTAACAACGTGATTGTTGGCGGGTGGTGGGCAACGCCGCGACGCTATTGACGCTATCGTGGTGATTGACGCCAGCGATGCTCGGCCGTACTACACAGTAAAAGTTTTTACATCTTTAAGGGTGTAAAAGGGGTGTTGTCGCAACTTACACCCTCGGCTACACCTTTTTAACACCCTAAAACTAGGAATACAACCTCATAATTTTACCGAAAAAGGTGCTGTTTCGTGTTACACCCTAGATTTAGTGAACAATGTGAGAAGGGCGTAGAAGAGGGTGCTAAATAAATAATGTGAAATGGTTTTGGAAAGCTTACATATGGCTCTGTACATAATGTACAGGTAAGATTTCTGCGTGAAAGCAACTGTTGTTAGCAGTCTAGTTTCTTATAATATCAGTTGTAATTCATGCAAATAGCTGATAATTAAGTGCCTCTTTTGCATACAATTTTTATGTTTGAAAACAAAATTTTATATATGAGTTCATATTTAATTTTCTTACAAATCACTCCATGCTCAGAAATCGGAAAGCAGGGTGAAATGCTCTATACTAGCCTTTTTTACAAATATTGATTGATGGAAGTGTACAGTAAGAAAATCAGTTAGTCTCGAGTTGATATCTGGCAACATGAAATCAAAATATTGTGAAAATGTTTGACAAATATTCATGACATGCTGCTAGAACCTGTCTCATGACCATGTCAACCCGAGTAAAATATTCATTTGAGAATATGGTGACATGCACAAAAACTCACACACATAAAGAGGCAAATCCCATAATAAACCAGTCCGAGACATCCCATAAAAAATGGCCTATGGTCGTCTATGGGAAATTCAATGGGAGGCTATCACTCCCTGTAGCTTTGCATGGTCGGCCTTAAAAACTTATAGATACAGCTACAGCCAGCTATAGAAAAGTTTAGGGCCCTGTGTCTCAGGGCTATGTTTCAATAACAACAATAATAATAATAATACTAATATTAATAATAATAATAATCAATAAGTTAGTGTTTTAACAGTGTCCAGGGACATCCAATTGTTCTTCTTGCGGGCGTAGTGCAATAGAACGAACAAACAGACGGTTGCGCTCTCGCAGTCGCACACATACACGCGCGCACGCACGTACACACGCATGCACACGCGCAAACCCACGCCCGCGCGCAGAGGCACACGCACGCACAACCAGAAACGCACACGCGCATGCACGCGGACGCATCCACACGCGTGCGCACAAACACACACACGCACACGCAAACAATTACGACGAAGGAAACGTTGCTTGAGTTAGTTTCGGTTGCGGTTTACACAAAAAAAGAAACAACCTAAAGTTTAAATAAAATCTAAGATTTACTCACTTTTTGTAATGTTTTACATTATTATTTCAGTGAAATTCTTATTTTTACTAATATAATTTATTTTGCTTAGTATAGTTCTAAAAAAAATAACAATAAATAAAAAGGAAAAGAGACTCTTGAAGACTGCGCAAGACCATCGCTATCGCAATCAGCTTCCGTTGGGCTCGTTTGAAAACGAGCGTTTCGCCGCAGTAAGGTTGCAACGCCTATTGGCTGAGAGAAAAAAGCAAAAACAAGCAAAACAACACAAACCAGAAGTGACGAAATTTTTGTTTTGTTTGTTTTTGCTTGTTTCAATTTTATTTTTTGTTTTTACTTTTCGTTTCTCCAAGTGTTTGATGGGTGCTTTTTCGAGCGGTCGCGTCGGTTCTAGCGGTCTTTCTTGTATTATACGTTGTCGTGTTATGTGCCGCCGTATTGCCGAGTGGAGTTGGTCGTGATATTCAATGCTTGGGAACGAGCGTCGGCAGAGAAGTTCACAGCGCATTCATGCAAGCTAGCAGGCCCCGTCTCGCCACATGGAGGCCCGTGGCCCGTGGGACTCTTGTTCGGAACGTAAAAGGTGAGTGAAATTTACCTACTCTGGTGGCGTTCGATCGTCGATGCGACACCGCAGTGGTGGAATTTGATAGCGCTTGGCTACCTCACGTAGCGTCGGGGACAAAGAAGATAGTAGAGATAATCAACGGGAGTGGCATGTGGCTCCCGGGTGCCGCCTGCGCCGCATTTGCATTCAGTAATCGCACAAAGAAGGACCAAGCGCGTTGGGAATGTCAGCTTTTGACGAGCTCGCGCTGTCACAAAAGCGTTCTGTCGAAAGACGGGATTTACAAACAGATCAGGCTTCGCGGATGGCCCTCCCGGCGCGTCGAATTTGTGGCGGGTAATAATGTTACTGTTCATCCTGGTAGGCCTGCGATGGTGTTTTCTGCACAAATGCTGTATTCTGCCTCGTTGTGCATTCACACCTGCAGCAGAACTGCTAAGCGATTCTGCTACAGGTTAATCGCGAAGAGTTGTGCTCTTCCATAATGTGCATGTTAAAGTGACAACAAATAAGTGCCTCTCTGTTCTACTTCTCCTTTGGTATTCAACTGGTTGTATTTTCTACTACATTTTGTTCAGAAAGCCACTGCGAGACAGGCATTATTGAAGTATACTATCCAAAATAATGCTTGAGCATGAGACGAGGTAACAGAAATACTTCTATATGTGCCTGCTTTTTGTGTTTTTGCAAGACAAGGTTTTATGTGCCTGCTTTTTATGTTTTTGCAATTCACTGGCTAGACCACTCTTCTCATGGTTATTGTTTTGTTGGGTGCAATATTTTCCACCCCAGGTGTCTGATGCTTGCGGCTGATGGCTTCTACCTATGTGCATCAAACAGCGGGCCTGCACCTTCACCGAGACAGCAGTAAAACAGTTCTGGGTAACTGCAGCGAGTGGGTCACCGATGCCGTTCCACTTCCTGCACTGCACTCCGCATGGGTCAAAGGGCCAGCGCATGCCTTTTATGGGTTGTCGCCAGCCATAGTGAGTATGGCTTGGAGTCACGTCATGCGAGTGAAATGCTTGTCACCTGAGTGACGTCAGTGTGGGGGGGTTGCCGCCGCCGCCGTTGGTGGGGCTATGATGGTGGTCTGCGATCAGAGACCACCAAGCACCATTCCTGGATGAACTAGCCGCTCGTGAGGAAGAACAGGGTGCTTTGGGAAGAGCTATGGTGTCCGCTTTTTCACTAGCTCCAGCTGTCGCCACAGACATTTTGTGGAAAGGAGCAACATCTATGAATGAGTAGACGGCGCTGAATGGCCGCAAGGGGCCTCGCTTCTGATCGAGGGGTTCAAGATAGTTCTGTTTCAACAGAGGTACCTCTTGGGGTATTGTACAACACAGGAAATAAAGGGCCCAAAAGTTTTTTACCTTGACGAGGTGTGGGTTATGGCAGGACCAATTTTCTCAAAGGTGCGAGTAGACACAAATGCGGCTTTGTTCCGTGGACACCTTCATGTTTGGTGGCACGAGGCAGTCATTGCTTAACCCTGCTTAAAGTGGGACAGTAGACGGCTGTTATATACCAACTTTAGACTTCATTCACCCCTTAACTGACAGGGCACTGGAGGCTACATGCTCGGTGAACCAGCCGATTGTCAGTCTTGCATCACTCATCACGCCCCTTTCTCTTACAGATGTGCAGGTCGGACATGAGGCAAGAATAGCTTGGCCCACCAACCACATGGCTCCTACCGCCCTGTCAGCGTAGGGGTGAATGGAGCGTAGGGGTGGCAGAGTTGGTGGGGTCTGCTGAGTGCTTCTGGCGTAGCAGTTCGGCAGTGGTGAGTTACTAGAGCACAAAATGCAATACCGCACTTTACTCTGAATGCTGCGAGCCATCGGAGCCAATCCAGTGCCGAAGGTGCGTCACGTGGCCTATCCATTGGGCGCAACGGCTCGTCGAGCACAGTGTCATCTGGCAGCGACAAAGAGTTGGATTGGCTCCGGTGGCTCGTATCGTCGGCTGCGGTACAACACAAGGTGAAACGGAGTAGAATGTGATGGCGTGTTGCATCACAGAAGGTGAGCAAAGTAAACAGATAAAAGTTTGATTTTTAGAGTGCCTTTAGAGCGCATCACAGGCGCCCCAGGATGGGCGAGGAGAAACCTCCTCGCCCATCGATATATTGACGGGGGACCGGGGGTAGAAGCGCCTCTGGGAACCGGGCGGTGCCGAGAACAGGCAAGTGTATGCGACCGGATTTCGGGTAATCGTGGGAGACGAGGCCTGGGGGCCCTCTTTGTGTTTAGCTTTCGCTTTACGTGCGAATATCGGTGTAATGTCGGATGTCTTTGCAGTTTAGATTGAGTGTTTTTGAGCGTTGTGTTTTCGGAACAAATAAAAGGGAGCGGAATTCCCGCTCCCGTGAAAGAACCAGGCTGGACTCTGGTTGTTTGACGGACCACGTGGGATCTGGCGTATCGGCGGCAGTATGCGATTTCCTACGATGTGTCCTTTAAAGGGCCCTGCAATCATATTTAAGCGTCTACTGATTTTGCGCTTTCCACGCCTCTTGGGGTTCGGGCAAGCCAGCGGGCACGGAGAGAGTAACTAAATATCAGTGCATCATATTTTAACCGGACGACGCGGAAACCTCCTCCACCGATGGGGGCAACCCGCGTTACCGAAAGCGCGCGAAATGTGACGTCTTTGGTCCTGGGATTACTACTGGTCAGAGCCGCTAAAAGATTCTTTTTAGTCGAAATACAAAATATAAGTGGCGCGAACTGTTTAAGTTATTTATAAAAGTAGTTTTTGTTCAGTATTTTAGATAAGAAAAGAAACAAATGCAGTTTATAAAGTAAGGAAACAAGAAATGACCCGTCAACATACCCGCCACCAAGCAGTGGAAAAGGTGGCGCAAACTAGAAAGGAGTAGTGGGATCAGGCGCTGACGCGGAAAGGTCCCGGATGCATGCGGCGGCGCTGCGGTCGTTTACGGACTGGAATATCCGACCGGCTCCGAGCGTTCCCAAGGCCTTCAGCAAGCAGCAGTGTCTTGCGTTTTGGCCGTTTCGCGGTACGGCAGCGCGAAGTCGCTCCCATTCTGAGTTGATCTTCACACCGTGTTTGCTGTCGTTTGTGGCCAATGAAGTGTCATGCCGAATTAAGTGTTTAATCGCGCAACAAGTGCAATGAGAGCCGCTCTGGCGGCCTGCTGTATACAGCCTATCGAGAACATGCTTTAGTGGCGCCCTCGCGCGCCGTCGACACGTACTGCGGCAGCCGTTTGTGCTCGCTTAGCTCACTATCCCTCCTCTAGTTCACAGCCACCCAAGCAACCAAGGACGTCACGAAGGAGGTTATTTTTTGCTTGTTTATGTAATTTTAATTTGCCTATAACTTTCTAAATAAAGCAAAATTCGAGAAAAGAAAAGTTTCATTAAGATAATACAGTCAGTGCGCTCAGGTTCGGTGCAAATTAAAAACCAGTAAAAAAGTGCTTGCAGGGCCCCTTTAAGTTTCATATATTTTGGCCTTGCATTTTAACCACTATTGTATAACTTGTTCACACCATTGTTTAACATGTTTGTTTCCTATAGTTGCATTTACAATTGCACTGTGTAATGCCCCTGGCTCCGAGGGTAAAATAAAGGAATAGAAACAAACCGATTCTGTAAGCTGCCAAGTTCAATTACGATCTCCTCTTTCTGGATATGTACTGTATGACTGAGCACCGGCCCTGGACAAGCGTAAGTCCATTGCCACAGACTGAATGCCAGCAGAGCTGCCGAGCCTCGCTTGTGTCTGGTCCCATGGTGGTGCACATTAGAGCACTGTGTGGGCCTACTTTCCGAGGCCAGTCCCGGGCCTCCTGGCAACCCGTTCTGTTCGTCCTGACAACAAAGTGCGCTTAGTCAGCATACAAAGACCACTTTTACACTTGTTTGAACAAGATTGCAGCTTTAGCGGGCTGCTCGACTGCCATGTTGTGGCAGCATTTTTTGAAAACGAATTTCTTACGTAGGCTGCACTCAATTAGAAGGCTGAGAGGCATATTGAATCACATTTGTCCAATCTGTCTGCCAGAATGTGTGAAAGTAGAACAGATAGCACATAGCTCTTGGTAGAGCAGCTCAACCTTGACCAAGGTTTACAGTAGGCCTGCACAGTGGTTTAGATAGAACACATCTAATTTCACTCTCCTTTATCACAGTGTGGAGCTAAAAACTAGTGTGCCCTACCAGCTGGTGGTGGTGTGGTGGTCGGTACTTTGCTTGCAGGACTTAACCGAGAAAAAGTTTTCGCCTTTTGCCAAGTTTCACTGAGGCACAGTATAGTTTGCTGCCTGATGGGATCGTAGAGCATGTATCCACCACTTAGAGCTACATGAGACTGGTTTGATCAAAATGAGAATTATATATTGTCCTTTCAGAAATACAAAGTAGTAAACTTTATAACTTGCCATATAATTCTTTTCTTCTTTTAAGCTTTCTTTTTGTGCAAACAACACCACATCGCATGGCCGCAAAGCAAGAAGAAAAAAAACATAGCATATCGTCTGCTTTTTTTCTCTGCTCTCGCTTCGGACCACTGGTATGCCGATAGAGCAAATAGTCGTAACCTATTATAAAATGAGGTGCGTAAGTTGTGCACATAATGATGGCATGCAGTTAGGTAATAAAAATAAGTGTCAGACGACACTTCACAAAGCAGAACAAAAAATTGCAATAAAATGCGGCCAAGAAAACAACAAAAAACAATATGCCTTTGCCTAGGAGCGGAGGGGAGAGAGAATTTGAAGCCACTTTATGGCGGCTGTGTCATGTGATTCCAAGATGGCAGCGCCTATGCAACGGTGGGTGAAAAGATCTAGAATTTTAGAAATAAATTGAAGGGATGGCATGAAACCATTGGCAGGGGTCTGCTCTGCTGGCTCGGATGCGACAGGGGTTCACCATCACTCTGATGCAATCACTGTACCAAAGTGCTTGCCCTATTGTGGTGCACTCTACTTCATCAAAATAGAGAATTTGCACCACCAATGTGCTGAAAAATATATTTCCTCAATGCTCGAACTATTTGCTAAGGCTTCGTTATATGCCACTGTCTTATAGCAGATAGTTTTCAACTTTTGATTATTGCTTGATTTACTGTAGGTATGAAAACTTTTAGGAAACTGCAGCAGCTGACCACATGGTCACCCCCTCGCCAAAGCGAGGGGTGACCTGCAGCCTGTTTGGAAGCCTAGCTTGTAGCCCAAGCTACTGTTGCATTAGTAGCAGACTGCATTTGGAAGACAGTGTGGCTGTAGCTAGCTTCAGTTGCTGCATTAAAATGTGCATCTATTGACATTAGGTGACCATAGCAGACAGAACTTATTGTGCAGGGGGAGACTGGTGTGGTGAGGTCAGGTGAGTATGTGGGCTCCTTTGCAGTGCTTTTCAATGCGGCCGCAGAACATAGGATTCTTAATAAAGACTGAAAGTAGATGGCAGATATTTTCTGGCACCTAATATTTTGACAAGCCTTGCATGAAAGGCTTTTCTTTTTCTTACCTGGAATATGGGGCTGAAGTATCAAACTGCCCGTGATGTTGCAAACGAAAAAGAATATCACCAGAACATCTCGCTGCTAATAGTCGCTGACAAGATGAGAAATGCAGGGCATCTCTTAATGCCCAACCTCCAGCAAGCACTTGTTGCCTTTTCTCATGCTTTCGCTCTGCGTAGATTGTTGAGGCTTGCAAGATGCCAAAGCATTGCCAAATGTAGGAAGCTCCTCCCTGCCATTCTCGTCTTACATTTGGTCCTCGAGGCACACTCCAAGTTGGTACAAAAACATGTGATGGTCTACTGAACACCCAGACACGATTCGGGCGATATGTTATAGCATCTTCGATCAACTCGCACCGGAATCACCCTGAAACCAGCACAGTGCACACCGCTCCTCGGTCGTGCAGCGCGATGTCGGTGCAACATCGAGGACAAACTGCGCCGCGCCGGTGCACCGCGGCGAGCTCCATCTTGCATCACTTCGCGTTTTGTTCGTTTATTTTGCGTAGGTCAGCGCACGGTACCCGTCTGCTGTCAATTTCTTTTTTTTACTCGCGGATTTGACGGTCCCACAGAAATAAACATCGTGGACGTGATTGTCGATGGGGTCACGAAGCGGGTGACAATTCCATCATTATTAGTTCAAGAAAACAAAACACCAGATAATAAGAAAAGAGTCAAAGTACAGGCTAGCTGGTGGAAGTCAACCATTTCGTCGTTTACCCTGAGACTGGGGTTTTTTTTTTTTGAAGAGCAGAAGTGACAGAGAAAACAGACAGGTCTCAAGACCTGTCTGTTTTCTCTGTCACTTCTGCTCTTCAAAAAAAAAAAAAAAACCCAGTCTTAGGGTAAACGACGAAATGGTTGACCAGATAATAGCCGTACCTCGCTGTCATCAAAACGCCTCGCGCCGCTTTCCACGAAGTTCGTGCTTTCCGGGCGCTCCTTGCCACCGCAGCAATCGCCAGTAATCGCGGCGATGGTGAGAAGCTCGTCGTCTCGCCGTCAGAAGACCCGAGGAAATCATCTAGTGCACCTGCAAGGCGTGTTCGTTTTTGCAAGATCGCCATCTCGATAGTCCGCGCGTCTGATACTCCCGCCATCTTCTCGATTCCCGCTCCTGGCCGCAATGCCTGACGGGACTGCCCCCCGGCGCACCGCCGATTTCCTTGGTGCACGTTCGGGCA